CAGCTGCAGCAGCAGCAGCGGCAGTGGTAATAATAGTGCTGCAGCAGCAGCAGCAGCAGCGACAATAATAGTGCAGCAGCAGCGGCAATAAAAATAATAGTGCAGCAGCAGCAGCAGCAAGGAAAGAAATAACAAAAGAATAAAAGAACAAAAGAGTTAAATAAATAAAAAGAATTAAATTAAATTAAATTAAATTAAATAAGATTAAATTAAATTAATTAAATAAATTAAAATAAAAAAATAAAGAAAGACTTGCCAATTCCTACAAAAACTTCAAACAAAATCAGCCAAGAAGTTTCTTGACTGTCCAGCAAGTAAAGACCCACAATGAGCTGCAGCAAAAAACATTTTTAAGCAGCAGCAGCAGCAGCAGCAGCAGCAGCATATGCAGCAACAACAGCTTGCTACAGCAGCAGCAGCATATGCTGCAGCAGCAGCACCAGCAGCAGCACATGATGCAGCAGCAGCAGCATATGCAGCTGCAACACATGATGCAGCAGCAGCAGCATATGCAGCTGCAGCAGCAGCATATGCTGCAGCAGCAGCAGCATATGCAGCTGCAGCAGCACAACATGCTGCAGCAGCAGCAGCAGCAGCATATGCAGCAGCAGCAGCACAACATGCTGCAGCAGCAGCAGCAGCAGCAAGTTACCTCGCAGACGAAGCTGAAGATAAGAGACACCGCAGAAAGTCCCTCCATGGATTCGTTTTTATACCAAAACTGCATATCTGAAAAAATAAAAATAAAAAAATAAAAATAAAATTTAAATGAAATTAAAAAGAAAATAAGATTAATTTAAATTGAACTAGTGGGAAATTAAAAAGAAATTGGATTTTAAAAAAAATTAAATCAAAGAAGTTTAAAAAAATTGAGAAAAATAAAAAAATCAAAAGGAATTGAAGAGATATGAAAAGGAAGAAAGAAAAACGAAATCAAATTAAAATTCTATTTTAAAATTAAAAGTCAAAAATGAAATAAAAAATGGAAAGTAAATAAAAATAAATGAGTTTAGTTAGAAAGAAAAAAAAATAAAAAACATAAATAAAAGAAACAAATGACAAAAAAACAAAAAAACAAAAAAGCAAAACAAAGAATCGAAAAGCAAGTAAAAAACAAAATAAAAACAACAAAAACCAAAAAACGAAAACAAAAAGCAAAAACAAAAAAGAAAAGCAAATAAAATAAAATAAAAAACAAAAAAGAAAAACAAATAAAATAAAATAAAAAAAAGAAAAGCAAATAAAATAAAATAAAAAACAAAAGTACCGTTTTTGAAGGCGAAGAAGGAAAAGAGGGAATGGAGAAGAATAAAAAGCGAAGAAAAAACCAACATGAAAGGATTTGTCTCCAAAATAATTCTTTTAAACATCAAAGTCTCCTTTTGTGTCTGCAGTCCGAGTTGCTGCTGCTGCTGCTGCGCCCCCGCTATTTGCTGCTGCAGCACGAACGCATGCAAACTCCCCACCCCGAACGACAGCAGCAGCTTCTCCGAAGTCTCCTGCACAAAACGCGCAACAAACCCTAAACCCTAAACCCTAAACCCTAAACCCTAAGCCCGACACTCTGCGGGTGCAAAGTGCGCAAAATTTCACCCAAAAAGGACACAAATTCATCGAAAACAGACATAAAACCCAAACCCTAAACCCTAAACCCTAAACCCTAAACCCTAAACCCTAAACCCTAAACCCTAAACGCTTAACCCTTAAAACCCTAAACCCTAAACCCCAAACCCTAAACCCTAAACCCTAAACCCGAAACACATTGGCAGTGCAAAGCATAAGCATTAAACCGCATCAAACCCTAAACCCTAAACCCTAATCCCTAAACCCTAAGCCCTAAACCCTAAAACCTAAACCCTAAACCCTAAACCCTAAACCCTAAACCCTACCTTGAAGGGGCCCTGCACTGAGGGAAGCAGCTGTATGTACAGCTGAATCGAAAACGACGGAAACGTCGACGCGGTTTTTGAAGTGTCTGATCAGCTCCGACGAGTCTTCCTGAAAATTAAATTAAATTAAATTAATTAAATTAAATATTTAAATTAAATTAAATTAAATTAATTAAATTAAATTAAATAATCAAATTAAATTAAATTAAATTAGTTAAATTAAATTAAAAAATTAAATTAAATTACATTAAATTAAATTAATTAAATTAAAAAATTAAATAACTAGATTAAGTCAAATTGAATTAAATCAAATTTAATTAAATTAAATTAATTAAATAAACATATAACATATAAAAACAAATCAAACTAATTGAATTAAATTAAATTAAATTAAATGGGATAAAATGGAATAGAATGAAAGAAGATGATATGCAAAGAATAAAAAGAAAATAAATAAAAAGAATAAAAGAACAAAAAGGAAATAATAAAAAGAACAAAAATAATAAAAGAAAGAAACAAAAGTAAATGAAAAAGGAGACAAAAGGAGCATTAGAAAGTGCGTACTGAGTCTTCGCTGCTGCTGCTGCTGCTGCTGCTGCTGCTGCTGCTGC